ACTAGAGGTGTTGAAGAACCCAGAAGATTTGGATTTGAGAGAACACAAAGCATAAATGCACCGGCGCCATTGCGAACGATTTTGAGCCATGTCATTCAAGGTCTCTAACCACCGATTACTAACATCTCGCGGACCCCAACCAGGTAGTCGACAATTACCGACATGGCTAAGTCCACTCGTCAATGACTTCATGGATTTCTGCCATGTTTTGGTCTGGCCGCCCCTAGCTTTCTTCCAACCTATTCCTACACCACAAAACAAAGCTCGACGAGGCAGTCGCTGGTTAGGCATACGCAACACATGTCCCAACCACCTCAACTGATGAAGTTTCGCCACTTCATCGATTGATCTGCCATTCTTACCTAGCACCCATTTCCTAATAACAGCGTTGCTCACTCGGGCGTCCCACGATGTACGAGCAATGCTTCGAAGACACCTATGATCGAAAACCAATAGTCGACGAGTATCTTCTAATGCATGTATATATTGATCAATGGCTGAAAGCACTGAACATTGAACAAATCAACACAATTATGAAACAAACCAATTTAGAGTAATTTTTTATCGATGTAAACTTGATAAAAACTGACCATTTGGGTTTAACTCAGTTTTTTATTGACCTCAGTGAACTAACTGATCGTTTAAGCTGAATCGAATCGATGATAAAAGAAGTTGGGAGATATATAGTGAAACTGAATATTCTAGGTTTGATTACTCATGTCAAGGTTATGATGTTTTCAACATTGTGGAGTCTTATACTAAGATAAAACTAAGATAAAAACCCCTCCATTTATACATTTGTAATTTGTTCTTACTGTTTCCTTCAATTGTACATTTTGTTAGTCTGCTCGATTCCATTTTTTGAGATGATAATATTTGTATTTTATTACAGTTTCTATTTCTTTTTTGCCCTTACTGAGTTTCTATGTTTCTTTCTGAAATGCATTTGTATTGTTTAAGCTGATACTTAGTCATGGTGACAGCCATATTGATTTGTTCCTCTTTTCGTTATGTTGCTTGCATTGACTGGCATTGTGCGTTTTGATTTTGAAATGGAGCACCCTTCTAGAACAGGAAACACTCTGTGATATAAAGCAACCAAATATTAGCTGTCGAACGAATCTGATCTATCCAGGAGGGATAGAATAACATTTATTTGTTGCTGTTGATTTGATTAACTGAACAATTGTTGGTGGAATAACTGAGTGGTAATATTTGTTTAGGTAATGATGCATATCTGTATGTATGATGAATATTAGAACCGATATTTACCCAAATCAATTATTTCGGATTTCAACTGGGCAAGAGGAGTCTCTAAACTACGTGGACAGTTATTCCTCAATCTAAACCTTAGTTTGGATCCTACAATCAGCACGGTTTGCTTCAAACGCTTTTGCGTTATTTACTTAGCTAATTAGTCCAAACGCTTATTGTCTCACAAAATAAGGTAAAGAGTGATACATTTATTCGTATTGGCTGGTTGAATCTTCTCCTTATTTGTGTTATAAGTAAACATGTATCAACATAAAAGTATACGATATTTGAAAGTATCAATTTAAAGGAAGTTGATGCATCAGTGCATTGAAACTAGTTTAGAGAGAAATACATCTTGTTGTTAAGCTTAAAAAAAACCGAAAATATATTAAATGTCTACTTCAGTTCTACTGTATGAGGGCGGAAATTTGAAGAACCATGAAAATTACGATTCACAAAATACAGGTGTTTATTAAAAGTTATCTACGCAATATACTTCGGATACGTTGACATCAGCAACATCAGCAACAATCTACTGTAGGAGAGAATAAACCAGCTCCCTCCAGCTGAGGAAGAAATGAGAAAGAGGCCTTTAAGGTGGATAGGACACACAATGAAGAAATCGCTTAACTTCGTCGCAAGACAAGCCCTTACCTGGAATCCTCAATGCCACAGGAAAAGAGGAAGTCCAAAGAACACATTACACTGAGAATTGGAAGCAGGCACTAAAAGTATGAATAGCAATTAGACAGAACTATAAAGGAAGGCGGAGGACAATGTTGGACGGAGAATGATGGTCGGTGACCTATGCTATGCCTGGGGCATCATTAAGTAAGTAAGTAAGTAAGTAAGTAAGTAAGTAGGTAAGTAAGTAAGTAAGTAAGTAAGTAAGTAATTAAGTAAGTAAGTTAGTAAATAAGTAGGTAAGTAAGTATGTAAGTTAGTTAGTTAGTCAGTAAGTAAGTATATAAGTACGTAACTAAGTAAGTAAGTAAGTATCTGACAGTTTCAAAAACTTAAGTTTTAAATTTCAGTTTTAAAAGATACATCAGTATTCTAATACGTACGTTCATCAAGTTTACAGTTTATACAAATATAATTGGTTTACGCCATAATTCAATGTATCTTTCATTATATACTAATGGGGTTTCTTTGAACTTTTCATCTATACCAAGTTGACTATGCCTGTAAATTGACATGAATTCTGTAAATACTATTTGCAGAATACATTATTATCATTAGTACAACAATATTTAGAAATCATGGATCAGTCACTGTTAGACAATTATTAGAAACCTGGAAGAACTGGACAACCATTTGGTCCTTGTATGGGACTCATCAGGAGTGCGAATTCATGACTGCTGCAACTCACGGGACTCGGGCTTAGGACCTCCGGTCTTGTGAGAGAACGCTTAAGCTCTGGACTACTGAGTCGGCATTCAATGGTATTAAGGTCTAAGTTCGATCAATCCACAGTCTTTCGCAACCTCATCCACTGTCTTTGTTGAGCAGTGTTTCACAACCGAACAGGGTAAAACTCTACTGGTCTTGACTTCTCATTAGAACTCGGAGAAATTTTCTCACGGATATAGTCACTAGTGAGTATATGATAATTTGCATTAAACGGTTGTGAAGATTGTTGAGTAACTTTGAAATCGTGAATTGATCAATGTTAGACAATCATCAGAAATTTGGAAGCAGTGGACGGCTGTTTCGTCCTGCTATGGGACGCATCAACAGTGCGTATCCATGACCTCTGCACTCCGTAATTGAATCAAAGACCTTCGGTCTTGATTTTTTTATATTGAAGCCTGTCAACCCTACTGTAGCATAGACAACCAACCAACATTTTCTAACTTACTCTGTCCTCAGCCTTTCTTTCCAGTTCTTTTCATGTCTGCCTCTAGTTTTCGGCGTAATGTGTTCTATGGTGTTCCTCTTTTCCTTTGACCTTGAGGATTCCATGTAAAAGCAATGTTTGTGATGTGCTTGGATGTTTTCCTCAAAACGTGTCCTATCCATTTCCAGCACTTTTTCTTCACTTCCTTTTTGATGGGAATCTGCTTTTTCCTCTCCCATAGTCCTTCCCTTTCACCTGTTACCCCCAATGGAGCATAGGCCGCCCACCAGTTTTCTCCAACCAACTCTGTCCTGGGCTTCCCTCTCCAATTCCGTCCAATGTTTGTTCATTCCTCTCATATCTTTCTCTATTTCTCGGCGTAATGTGTTCCTCGGCCTTCCTCTTTTCCTTCTGCCTTGAGGGTTCTATGTGAGGGCTTGTCTTGTGACGCAGTTAGTTGCTTTTCGTAGTGTGTGTCCTATCAACTTCCACCGCTTCTTCCTGATTTCCTCCTCCATTGGAATCTGACTTGTTCTCTCCCACAGTTCGTTGTTGCTGATGGTGTCTGGCCAACGAATACGAAGTATTTTGCGTAGACAACTGTTAATAAACACTTGTATCTTGTGGATGATGGCTTTGGTAGTTCTCCATGTTTCCGCTCCATACAGTAGAACTGTCTTGACATTTGTCGTGTGATCTTGGTGTTGGTTAATGGTGGTTTTGAGTTTCAAATGTTGTTCAATTATAGAAATGCTGAAACTCTTTTCTTGGTTTGTGCCTTCATATCTGCATCATCATGTACATTAGTGACACTGCCAAAATATGTAACGGTTTTTATATCATCGAAAGCTTCACCGTCGAGAGCGATTTCGTTGATAAATGTTGTGTTGTATCGCAGAATCTTGCTTTTCCCTTTATGTATGCTGAGACCTGCTTCTGCTGCTGCTACAATGGTCGTCTTCTCTTGCATTAATGGTTTCATGTAGAATCTAAGAGCTAGATTATTTGGAAATTTGGAATCTGTAGCTGCTTTCAACTCATAGATTGTATTCCCTGCTTCTTCGAAGATGTTAATCTCTTCGTAAACAGCTTTTGAATGTGTGTAAATTCACACTGACTTAAATTTTTACACGTCGAATCAACAATATACAATATTTAACAGAAAACTACTGTTACACATAAATTGATGTATCGATTTACAGCTTAATTTCTGTGACTTTAAGCATCAGTTTAGTTGATGAATTGAACATATAATATATCAAATATGTATTTGAAGATCCGTATTATTGATAAAGCTGTTTCTTAAAGAAAATTATTCAGTTTGTAACTTGCAGCTGATAGAATACAACTCTCTTTAAAACCTAGCACACAACAAGAACGTCATACACTATTCCATAAACCTTAGCAGATCAGGCAACCTAGTTCATCTGGAAATCGGTAAAAAGAGCTAGATGATGCACATTTAGGGAAATCGCCAGATTATATGACAAGACAAGACTTAATTTGGTATCCTAAAGGCGCCAACAGAAAAGAGATAGACCGAAGAATGCACTTTACCGTGAATTGTATAGTCAGATAAGAAAAGAACGAATAGAAGTTGCTTAGAGCTGGAAAGGAAGGCTCAGGACAGAGATGGTTGTAAAATACTGGTCTGCTGTGTATGCAACGTTAGGAGTTACAGGCATTAGTACGTAAATATGAATTTTCAATCACGTTAAGTAATTTAGAAATATTCAAAATAACAATTACACAAATTCATGATCATCAAATACACATTGACTTACTTGTGCATAAACAAACTGATCAATTCTACATGAAAATGGTATCACTACTCTGAGTTTTCGAAAATCCGCATACGAATTCACTCCACAACAATAGAACTATTAAAAAAAACAACATTAAAAACAACGAAAAATAATTCTTGGGCTTCGAGTGAAAATTCATAACCAGTGGAAGTTTCGAAAAATCCCTACAATGATTAGAGTTAGACATTAATACCATTGAATGTTGGCTCAGTGGTTCAGAGGTTGAGTGCTCGCGCACTCGAAACCTGTGGTCCTTGATTCGAATCTTGCAAGTAGTAAAAGTCGTAGACACTCACTGTTGCTAAATCCCATACTGTGACGAAACGGCCTTATTTCAATGCTTCCAGGTTTCTTCTAATGGTGGTCTAACACTGATCAGTTCTGAGATGGCGGAGAAAATTTATAGCTCAGGTGGTAGTGTTTGGTTCTTTGAGCTGGATATCTTGGTTGTGGAGCTTTCATCCTTGTTCTTCTGAATTACGACATCAGCACAAACTTCAGATAGAAGTGAAGCATTTGAATTTCTCAACGTTTGACACTTTGAAGGTCAACAGCAACCAATCAAGATCGAGGTTAACAGAACAAGCTACAGGTCAAACGGGGAGAAATTCGAATGATTCACTTCTTCTCTTTGAAGTTTGTGCTGATGATGATGTTGTTCAGTAGAACAACAATGAAAGCTCCACAACCAAGACATCCAACTCAAAGAACCAAACATCACCACAGCGGATCAATTCATCATTTCAATGTACAATAATAGTAAAACAAACATGCCAACAATAAAATATTATCAATTTCAAAATTCACTTACATTTGTATGTAATCGGTCAAATTCATCACCATATTCATCTCTTGAATAATAATACTGTAGAGCATTGTTTAATGAAATTTCAACTTTTTCTAGAAACTATGAACAACAAACAATTTTGTCAACGAAATCACAGAACACAAACTCACGTGATCTGCATTTACCAAAGAGGCAATCGCAACACTTGCATCAATCAATGTTATCATAGTTAAACAAGCAAGATGCTATTAAACACATCAGATAAACAAGTGCATTAGTTGAATAACAACATCAACAACAAAAAATCGATTCTTCCTACCAGAATGAAGAAAATATTGATTTTTTTCCATAATCCAATAAAACCTAAACTGGCAGCCAACAAACTAACAGATCCGGTAAAAATGACCGCAGGGAATATAATCGGTGTTGTATAATTGATAATGATTTTATATTGAAATAAATTGTATTGTGCTTTGACGCTTAAAACAAATAAAACGAAACCTGATATCTAGAAAGTTTGGTTGACAAATCAATGTTCAATGTCCAATTACTTACTGCAAAAAAACAATTCAATATAATGAATAGATTGACTATTTTAAATCGTTGTTCTATCAATTTGAACTTCATTGATACTTTAACAATAATAATTGAATATTGAACTTACCAGTTAAAACACAATGAAATTGGTTTTAAACACAAATGTAAAAAGGTATTTAAACAATTATTTTGTTGATGATTTACATGTAGATTAGATTTTCAACTTAATGAGAATCACTTGATTAAGAGAGTTAAGAGAGAGAGAGTGTGTGTGTGTGTGTATGTCTGTTTGTTTAAGTATGCTGATTGAGAAAATTGAAAATTGAACCAAAAATAAAAATGTATTCACATGAATACGCGTTATTGGTATGATTCAACAGTCTACACGTCTATTATAAAAGTATGTGTGTGTGTGTGTCTGTTGTCGATTAGTTGACTGATACTTGATTTCTCTTTTTTGAAGTACTATGTATACATCAATCATGTATAATTTTAGTAGTATATTTAAGTAACAGAGCAAAAATGCAACAGATTAATGCTACGTTCAGTATAAGAAAGAAACAAACTGATTTACGTACTGTTGTATTCACTTTTGTTTTGTTGTTGCTCATATAAATCTAATTAGTTTATAAACAGTACTTCATAAAGTGATGTTCATTGTTATGAGCATCAATCAATAATGTGTGTGTGACTGAATCACTGAACTATCTGTTCATAACTTACTGATCGAAATCAGCTACTCGACAGTGTTCTGAAATAAGGAACATGTGTATAAGGTGTTGGAGAATGTTGGGGACGTTAGGTCCCCAGAACTCAATTGGAAAAAGTCCTAATTTTAGATTTTTTATGTTTTCGCTCATAAGTCGCCTGGATGACCTTGGGTTTAGATTTTCCGCTCTTTGACTGTCAGCGGTTGATGGATTTCTTGTGGCCCTCCCAAGGACATTGATATCATCTTATAAACAAGCTTGATATATGAGCTTAGAAAACTCAAATTTTCTGGGTGCCTGTAGAATATATTCCGTAAGCCTTATCAAGACATTTTGCTATAGTTAGCAGGGCCGGGGACAATCGAATTTAAATAACCTATCGCGTCACCATATGATTGCTTCATTCCGTTCACCGAGTAAGGTGAACTTGTAATACAATTCAAGCCTACCAGTTGATGAGCATATCAGAAACTTTGACTTTTTATGAAAGATAGCTCTATTCTGTAGGCTACAATTCAATAGGGATTCGGTTAGCGATGTCCTGTATGATATATTAGTAATGAAGGCAACTTGTAGAACATTCTGTGTAGCCGATAATACGTTGAAATTTTCTAGTCAATCAGTGATGTCTACTCAAAGAAGGAAAAGTTACCTAAAATTAGCCTCCTCAATGCACAATTACAAATGTAGCTGATCCTGTGGAGATAGGTATACTGGGCGTGTACTACCAGACAACTTCACCAACAAATGAGTGAGCGTTTCCTAGCATGGACTGAAAACGGCCAGAAAAAAACAATACGCTTCTCTGTCTTGGCACACCTAACTGATATCGGTCATAGTATAGATTAAACTGAATCATTTTGAGTGATCTATCATCCCCCAGACTATCTTCCTACGATCAACTTGTAATTTCACCTATTATGTATAATGCTGCAATCTGTTTCATTTCATTGTGATTAATGACTCGAAAATAGCCTTGATTGGTTAGAGCATTTTCATGTCAATAGCCATCGATGTAAGGCTAGAGCCTGATGACGATCTAATTGAAAACATTTACGTTCACTTGTATCTGCTTTGTTCTAATATTCACAATGAGAATATGTTTAACATTTAAGAAATATTATGGTGTGCTTCAATAAAGTTTGCTGAAGATATTTTGAGGGCGAAGTCGTACTGCTGACTGCAGAGGGGAGTGACAGCAGTAAGGTGTTTCCCTCGGACAACCAGCATCTGCAGCGATGCTGCCTTCTCACAAGGAAGGAAGGGTTAGAAAAGGTCGACCCTGAAAATGTCACGCCTCACCCTACCTCACGAAATTCCGTCTCCTTGGGTAAGGGTGCCCACTATGGGCTTTTAAGAGCGGAGCTAATCCTCAAAAAACCCTTCATCAAAAGGCCGTGCGTGACCGGCCTCAAGCAGTTGTCCCTTGGGCTCTTCGGTCACGCTCTCAGGTCTCTAAGACCAAAAACAATCTATCTTCCTTTTCCGGTCCCTCAAGAAACACCCTTCCACGGTATGGGCAGCCGGGAAGTGACAAACGCCCTCATACCCCTAACAGCATGGAAGACCAAATTGGTCGAAATCAAATCCAAATCTCTATGTTGAAACATACTGCTGCTCAAATTGCATTGTCATATGTGCGTTAGAAGAGCCAGATCTTTATGCAAAGTCCAGATGCATCCAGGTGCATCTCAGCTTTCCACTGTATTCCATGCTTCTTCTCAGACATTGACGTTTTCATAATTCAGTTAATCAATAGGATATAATGAAAGAGTGAGGCTAAACAAACCTGTCTTTTTAATCAGTCCTCCAGCACAATTATCCAGTTTAATCCAGCGTAAGAATTTCGGATTAAACTTAAGCCTAATACTAAAATCAATTTTAACACAAAACTCACAATTTTTATTGATATTTACTACTCGTGTTATTTTGATGACTAAGCATTTTGGTATTCAATTGATTATATGCCCTAATACCAATAGAAGTTATCTATCTATCAATTATTATTTCATTATAACTTATGATTGATAAATTAATTTCACAAGAATTTCACCTTGACGTAATCAAGGTATTCAATGTCACATTTATTAGTATTATTATTATCATTATTGTTCAAGTTTCAATGTTTGATACAAAAAATTGTACAATGAATGCATCAATCATCATGTGAACGTATCTATTGGAAAAATGAAATTATTATTTATTACGTCGAATTATGAATAATTGACGACTCAGATTTTATTTTAGGTTCCTTCAATTTATGCGATTAACAAGAAAGAGTTGACAAGATGTGAAATTTTTTGATTAATTTTACTAAAAATAAGTATGTATCATGCATGTAAGAATGAATATTCATCGATATTCTATTTTTTCAAATAGGTTGACAAAAATTGAACGTTGAACAGGCATACAAGATGAGATGATTTGTTGAAATTGTATTTGTACATGAATTTATAAGGTGATGGAAATGTTTCGATAATTTCAATGTTTCTTTCACAGCTATCTTGTTTAGACTTCTTCAGTGTCATAAGAATTATATTACTTAAATAGTGATAATAATAGTAATAATAATCATAATTTTATTTCTATTGAGATAGTTTTTAATATTCGATTGATATGATGAACCGTAATCGACGTAGGCTGTTTTTTCCTACTACGGTGTTGGGGATGTTAGATCCCCAGAACTCGCTTCATAAATGCCTTACCTTGGAGTTCACGTTTGTGAGCATGGGCTGGTCAGTTGACCTTGAGATTTCATTTCCCATGGCTGTGATTGGCTGCTGTGTATTTTAGTGTGCTATTTTCGTAACTGTCCCAAGGACGTTTCTATAATGTATAAATAAACGAGAGTTGTGTGCTTGATTGTAGAGTGTGATTGCTGGGTGTTGTAGAATATACTTTCTACGCTTATCAAGACTTCTCTTTTACAGTTTGAGAATCAAGTTAGCCTACCTGGACGCTAGTTCATTGTCTCGCTCGCGTTTAAGGTGAACTTGTAATAGCTTCAAGCGCACCTATTGACGAACCTAACATACTGGACTGATCAACAGTGCACATTCATTTTGATGCATGAGACCGAAGGCCCTATGTTCGATTCCTGTATGCAATCGTGATAAATGTGTACCGCTGATGATACTCATATTGCGACAAAATAGTCATCCAGTGTATTTATGTTATTAATAGTAGGTCTAACAAGGATTGATGCATCATTCTGAAACCAACTCAACAATCTCTATAACCATGTGATTAAAACTGAAATATTAAAACAACAAACTCATTACCTACCTACTAACTCATGAAAATGTCTAAGTACATACTTCAGACAATGTGGAAAAAAAGAAGCGTCGGTAAAGTTGTAATTTTTTCACCGAACGAATATAATTAGTTTACAATTGAAGAAAAAAACACATAAATACCATTTTTAAACAAGATAGATTATATTGAACTAGAATAACAAGTTTCTATAAACCTGGTATTTGTCTGATAAGCATGAAGTATAGCCGCAAGACTATAATTCATGTATGCTGTTGGGTGCTTTGCCCAAAATGTTTCCTATCCACTTCCACCGATGCTTGCTGATTTCCTCCTCCATTGGAATTTGGTTTGTTCTCACTCACAGTAGGTTTTTGCTGATCGTGTCTGGCCAATGAATCTGAAGTATTTTGCAAAGACAAGCAATAATGAATACTTATATCTTCTGCGTGATGTGTTTCGTAGTTCTCCAAGTTTCCGCCACATACAGTAGAATTGTCTTGGTATTTGTGTTGAAAATTTTGACTTTGGTGCTAGTTGATAGTTGTTTTGAGTTGATTATTTTCGATAAACCTGCTATTTATCTTTCAAGCATGAAGTGTAGCCGCAAAATTATATTTCATGTATTTATATGAATGGATGAACAAGGAGTGAGCTGATAATGAAGAGAATCTTTAGGAGTTGGAGATACGTCAACTATTACTTACTGACTCATTTTCGCCTTTTCTCCCGATGGAGCATAGGAAGCCGGCCATCTTTATCCAACCTACTCTGTCCTGGGCTTTCCCTTCCAGTTGTATTCAATTGCTGTTCATTCTTCTCATGTCTGTCTGCAGTTAGCAGCGTAATGTGTCTTTTAGTCTTCCTCTTTTCTTTTGATTTTGAGGATTTCAACTGACGGATTACTTCGTGGCTCAGTTGGGTGAATTCCGCAATGTGTGTCCTATCCACTTCCAGCACCTTTTACAAGTTTCCTCCTCCACTGGAATCTGGTTTGTTCTCCCCAACAGTAGGTTGTTGCTGATTGTGTCTGGTCAACGAATCCGAAGTATTTCGCTTAGACAACTGTTAATAAACACATGTATCTTCCGTATGATGGCTTTCCTAATTCTCCAAGATCCCTCTCCTTACAACTAATTTGACGTTAGTAATGAAAATATTGACTTTCGTGCTTGTCAATAGTTGTATTTTTGACTTGCAGAAGCTCTCTACTTGTAGAAACTCTTCAGTTAC